CCCCCCCCCTCCCCAACCTCTTTCTGTCTCTTGTCTGTGACCCCCTGTCTCTCTCAAACTTCCTGGGTCTGTGTGCGTTCCTTTTCTCCCTTTACCTGACTGATCTCTGTCTCTCTACCTATCTCTCTTTTTCTTACTTGTTTGTTCTCTCTTTCTGCCGCCCCCACTCCCCTTCTATCCTCTGACACCCATCTCTCTCACCCCCTCTCTTTTTTCCTCAGTGTTCTCTCTCTCTCTATCTCTTCCCCCACTCTTTCTCTTAGGCTCTCAACTTGAACCCCCTCTCGCTAAAGATTTACGGACACACCAAAGAGGTAATGGGACACACTGAAGGAACAGTGAATAGATCAAGATCTATTGAACACTGAACTCAAGGTTTTGGGTGAAATGGTTGACGGACGATGATCTCTGACCTAGCCTGGATCTAGTACACGCAGTCTAAAATGTAGATTTGGGAATGCCAATTTGTACACTCAAGGCTAAAACGTCGTTTACTTTCATTAGGTTTGATCCAATTGGTTATATGATTTTTAAAAGAAAAATAAACCCGAACTGATTATTATGGTATAAAATAGAGTCTACTTAATAAAAAATAAAAATGAAAAATTTGGTTTTAGAAACAATTTACAGAGGAACAAGCTATCAGAGCTCAAGTTAAGCTCATTCTTTTACAGCACTGGTAAAACTTGCCAGGTACATCACTCCCGTTTCTCGTTTCTTTCTGCTTTCTGTTTGTTTCTTCACGCTGTCTGAGGCCTGGCTAGATTTTCTATTTGGGCACAGCCGGTAAATCGTTATGGGGAAAAGAAAAGTCCAAAACAAGCCGTCTCAAACGGCTCCAAGCGCAGAAGGGGGTGAAGATAAAAAAGAAGAATCGAAAACGAAAGGTGATCTTAAGTTTTAGACTCGTTCTTTTATCTCTGTATTCTAGAGTCTACTGTCTTTAAGTCCAACTGACATAGAATCTAGATCTAGATCTAGATCTAGATCTCTGATAAGTGTTATCTAGATCTAGATCTAGATCTAGAGATATTCTAGATCTAGATCTGAACTCTTCTAGACTAGATCTAGATCTAGACTCTAGATATAGATCTAGATGTCTAGATCTTGATCTAGAATCTATCGATTTTCTAATTCTTATTCTGTTCAGCAGATCTAGATCTAGATTTATCAATACTTCTGTACAGTAGCTGAGCTGATAGTTATAATAGTACAGTAATTTGAGTAAAAGTACCAATTGGATATCTAATTATTATAATTATAATAAAAGACTAATATAGGCCTCTATGTTAGTACTAGATCTAGATCTAGATCTATAGTTTATCCGCTAGTTAGTGAGATGGGGTCCAGTCACTGTGGACACCATGACAACTTAACTCTCTCAGTACCAGACTGCTACCTTTGTGTTCCTACTGCTACTAGATCTAGATCTAGATCTAGAACCAGATCTTCTACACAGTGGCTGGCACCACTGCTACACTGCTGTCATTACTTAAGCTGGGAATCCATAGGCACGGAAACTGAACGGCACGCGGACGAAATGTGCGGTATCGCAAGTGTCAACTACAGTCAACTTCCATGTTTGAATCCACGGCATAGCAAGTTTGACTTAGTTTTAGTAAGGTTTTATGGCTTTTGCAATGCATAATAAGGTCCTAAGAGTACCAAGGGGTGGATGTCAACTGAGAAGTTCAAATGGCGAATCAGGCTTACTTTGCTCACCTTTCTAGCCTCAACAGCTCAAAGTCTGCTTCGACTATCAAGGCACCCCAAAAATAACAGTTGACAAGAGAGTGACAAACATACAAAAAAAAGTAGAGGGCAAATGACGATAGCAAGGATGAGGAAAGAAAAAGCAGCAGAACCCCATATGTTGTTCTGGCACAGCATGAGCACGACATTGATAAATCAGTCCATTTACAATTTTACTGTGCTTAAGAACATGTTAATATCTCCCCTTTGTGAATGGCCTTAAGACAATTTCAGTCAGTAGCACTGCCTTGGTGGGGGGGGGGGGGGGGAA